GTTTTGGAATACTACCAATTTAATATTAGGTGTTGGAATTAATTCGTAGCGTTTTTTAATGAAAGAATGTTATTTATTTCACATGAGCATTAAAAAATACATTAATGAAAGTACTTCCCATCACTCGTAAAACGCTACGAATTAATTCCAACACCTAATAATTAAATGCAAGTAGTGTCATCAACATTAATAATAATTTATATAGTTTTGTTAAATTGTTCAATCAACAAAATCTTTGTTTGTTTCCAAATTGGAACGAAAATACAAAAAAATTTCAAAATATTATTTAAAGCATCAGGGAAAATCATGAAATTTTATCTGAAAATCCGAGAAAAGTTATGATATTTTAGGATAAGGAATTTGTGATAATCCTATAAAAGAGTTGTTGTCTGTTATTTCTACGTTTCAATTAAATTAACACTTATCTAGAGCTCAAGTCTTTATGATTCCAATGAATTTAGATAAAGAGTATAAGTTCAACCGTTCGCGCTTCCCTTTGGCGGTAACTATGTCTCTCATCAGATATGTTTTTCACATTTTGATTGCCACCGTCATTTACGTCCAAGAGGCGTCTTCATCCGTTAATTGAATCAATGTTATCAGATGCGAGAGTTGCACACGGCGAGTATCCCCTTATTTCTCGCTCTATCCCGCGGCTTTGTACCGCGACCATTCTCCACGTTTGGAAGGCGGATATCACGGTTATGTCGCTTATGCCCGCGGACGTTAAGATTAAGGCGGCGATCTCGCGGAGTACCGGGAGACCGTCTTTTACAGCGGCGGCTTGCTGTGAAACCGTACGCCGATTCTCGATGGCTTTGCGCCATCATTCTACAACCCCGTGGCGAGTTTTAAGTTCTTCAGACTCCGTAAGAATCCTGGCGAGCAATCCGCCTTCTCTGCAGACTCGGCTCTGTATACTTTGGGATCTGACACTCTTAAGAATTGAGCCTCATGAAAGTTGCGACAAGTTCTCGTAAAAGAACACGCCATGATAATCTTGCGTTTGGACAATGATGTAGCTGAATAAGAAACGTGCCAGGAAAGACTGGACTGAAGAAAGGAACGAGTAACATTTCTACATTAATAAATCAAAACGGATTTCATTGACTTTATAGTTGATGCGGCCCTGCTTCTATGAATTGAACGTTTAAAAACCCGCAGACACCTAATGGTATCCTTATGCGGTTACAACAATATGGTTAATTGAACAGAACAGAATATTCTCGGTGCTTAGCTTCGCAGCAGGTCTATTATTCGAATTACGACATGGCTGTCTCTCGGCGTGATCGCGCCGAGTTCCGCATATTTTTCTGAACCTTATGTTGGGCACGATAACGTTATAATTTAGTTATTTAGTGTACTCGAAGGATCCCACATTGCTGCTCGTGTCGAAAAAGTTAAATGTTATATTCTAGGGTTAATATCATAAATTCAGTGTTGCGTTTTAGAGAATCAAACTCGGTTTGAAAGCAAAATACGTGGAATTTTTAAAGTTATCTTATTCCTGAAAGTTTATCTTTTAGTTTTTTAATTTCTAATTTAATTATGAATAACTAATGAGACACGATTGACTGAGACTCTGATTTAAAGACTTACTTTACTCGTTATTAGTTACTGTCATCGTAAAATCATGAATCGTTATCGTAAAAACGTCATTACAACATTTCTCCGATCGCAATAAATAAGCTTGTCTTATTTAAAGCCTATCTAATATAAGTTTCGAGGAAACGAAGGATGTTCGAACTTTTATTGTATAAATTCATCTTGTTTCGAAAAATCGTGGGAAAATCGCAGCGCATCTTTGGCACGTATTTCAATGACACTAAAAAGATGCATCAACGACTTACGTCTCTCGATTGTACCTACGATATATAATGAAAATAAGTAAATCAGTTTACGCGCGAATTCATTCCCTCTATTTCTACATTCCCCACGATGAGATATACATTTCCTCTGAACCATGTTCGTGTCAACCATTTCATTTTTTTTTTCCTTTATTTTCACAGTCGCGAGCAAAGAAGCGTCTGATCCCTTCAGCGAATGCGACACAATGAAATTGGATTAAAGTCGTGCCCTCGCTAGTTCTCGCCGACTCGTTCTCTCTCCGTAGCGACGCGACTTGAGAGTAAGAGAGGAGTTTTAACGATCTACCGCCGTACAAATTGTCGAGATGCTATCATCTCTCAGCGGGGTGAGAGAACGGGGGTAAGAGAAGCAGATAGGATGATATGACGCGAGAGAGATGAGAAAGAGAGAGAGAGAGAGAGAGGCACGGAGGGAGGGCAGCGAAGGGGGCGAAAGGAGAAGATGCGAGGGAAGATTAGGGCGGTATCTCCCCACGGCGAGGTCGGTAACAGAAACTGCTGTTGGTGATGCTCTTGATGCCGCACCGTAGTCGCTCTCGCTGCCGCGTTTCGCCGCACCACCATGTTCTCCTTAGCTATGCCCTCGTATCTGACGTGATTCGTACGTTGAGGATTCTCAACAGTAAATTACAAAATATGCTAAGCGGCCGATATAAATCAAAAGTAGGGCCCGCGCGAGTCCCCCGAGGGGTGAGAGAGAGAAAGAGAGAAAGAGTCCTTTACTCGTTGCCTGCGTCTCCCGGATTCCACGGTGCAAGGGGTAAGGGTCCTCGGCATCCTCCGTGAGTCGACCGAACCCAAAATATAAGGAGAGAGACCCCTATCACGAATCGAGAACAAGGGAGAATCTCTTTCCC